ATTTTATTATTACTTTATCTCCACCAATCCTCACACATAATATTATTTTATTTGAATGTTCTTTCTTTTCCAACACACCATTCTCTCCATCTCCTCCCATCTCCCTCCCGTCTCCCTACCATCTCCCTCCGGCGACTGTTCCTTTTTCTTTTTCTTTTTTTGCAGGTGGTCTCCGACGACACAAAATCCAGCGAGAAGAAATCCGGCAGCAACAAATCCGGCCAAACAAGTGATTCCGACGTCAAATCGGGCAAAAATTTGAAACTTTTTCCGACAACATTTGTGGTTTTTTCGGCCAAAATTTGAAGTAATAAGTGATATATATATTATATGAGGATCTTGGAGTCCAAAAATCATGTTTAATTCATATATTTTTAGTTAATTTGTTAAGGATTGAATTTTGAATATTGTTGTTAATATTTACCCTAAATCTTACCCTAAATCAATTAAATTGATCAAAAAAAAATTGTTGTTCATGTATACGAAATTGATGCTATTGTTATGTTATGTAATGTGTTTTTCACCCTAAAACAAGAAAATAATGTGGGAATGATCATTGTACCACTATTCTTGATTATTGTACCTCTTATTGTTTCTATATAGTACCGCATTAATACTGTTTAGTACCACATTTATCTGGGAATGTGAAGTTTTATTTTTTTTATTTACCCAATTATTGTTAGATACATGGAAGGGGCACAAAGTGATCTACTAGGGAGTTGTACGTACAAGAATGAATTGTTTATGTTCTCTATGCACATTAGATTAACGCTTGACGATGTGTACACTCTCATATCTAAGAGGTGGCCGAACATTAATTTCGAATCCGTCGTGCTTTGCTATATTGCGCCAAAGGAGAAAAAGAGAGTTAGTTTGTTGGATGATGAGGATGTGAAGAACATGATTCGGTTACATTTTAGTTGGAAAGTGAATATTGTCAAGATGCTTGCCCTTGAAAGAAACGAAAGAACGGACGATGGAGTTCAATCCTTCCCGATGAATAGGTAATGTTGCTTTAATAATATTAATTAATTTATTATTGAAATATGGTATAGTCATATCATATCCTATTTCATTAATTTTTGAACTAGTTCTATTATTTATAAATATTTGTATTATTTTTTAGGGAAATCGTACCGTATGATGATTTATCGGATGGAGAACATGAGTTGTTGCAAGATAAATCAATTGATTCTTGGAGATCTTGCATCAAAGGAGAGGGGTAGATATTTAGTGGGGCCGACGAATTTCGTAAGAGCGTTAAAAATTACGCGATTGCAAATAAGCGGTCCTTTAAGTATCGAAAAAATGACAAGCAAAAGATCATCGTTTGTTGTAGCGATTCGGGTTGTGAATGGAGAATATATGCATCATTACACAAAGGTGATCAATTGTTTGTCATCCGCAAATGCAATCTAGTTCATACTTGTGGAGTGTCCAATCCTCGGACAAGGGGCCATCCGAAAGCAGACTCCATGTGGGTCTCAAGTACAATAAAAGACAAATTGAGAGATGAACCGAGTTACAAGCCTACCACGATATTGAAAGATCTACACATGGAGTATGGCTTGGAGTTGCCTTACAAAAAGGCATGGTTAGGGAAAGAGCTTGCCATGCAAGATATTCATGGCGCAGTCAGAGGATCTTACGATCGATTGAGATGGTATTGTAGTGCAGTGCGGGAGACGAACCCCGGAAGCATTGCCGACTGCGAGATTGATCCTGTGGAGAATAAGTTTCGCCGATTGTTCATCTGCTTCCATGCTTGCCTTGTCGGTTTTTTAACCGGTTATCGACCATTGATTTTTTTGGATGGCACTCACATCAAAAATAAATACAAAGGTGTTTTGCTTAGTGCTGTGAGTAAGGATGCGAATGATGATTTGTTCACTATAGCACATGCCGTTGTTGATGCCGAGACCGATGAAAATTGGGAGTGGTTTTGCTTGAAGCTCAATAGTACTTTTATTGCCTCGCGCATACCTATTTCTAGAAGCTTTAAATTTTTTACATACCGACATAGTGGGCTACTTAAAGCCATCCTATGGTTTTTCCTAGTAGCCATCATGCTTACTGTCTGAGACACTTGGTCGACAACTTTAAGAAGCTGGTAAGAAACTTAAATTTTTATTTAATTTAAGTTGAAGCCATACTCATGGTTTTCTGTTGTGGTATGCTTATATAAATTAAATTGAAATTGATGCCATCCTGTAAGTTTTCTTTTGTGG